GCACACTATGTCCTGAGTCTAGGCAAACAGTAACCTCATCCTTTTACCCACAGATCCTGAGGGACTGCCGAGCTACCTCCTAGAAAGCTGCTCAAATATTCAGGATTTTTCAATCTGAAATGCTGTCTCTTATTAGGGTAGATGCATTCTCCATTGACATTAGACTGATGAGCAGAATCTAAACATAGTCTAAACACTCTTCAGTGCCACCAACAAAGAGTGGGCATTCATAAGGCTGGGTGTTCCAGGACCCTGCCTTGCTTCAGAGAAACACACCAAAGATGGCAGTGGTGCTTCTGTTCTGGTTTCAGAAGCCTCTGGATAAGATAAGACAAATGGAAGGAGACAGACTTGGGTTGACAGAAACAACCAAAGGAGTGACATCTCCAAAGACATAAACTAAACTGTCAAAAGCCTCAGACAGGTATAGAATCTCAGGCACATTGCTTAGGAATGAAAATTAGAGCATTAAATGCAAGATAAGAGATTCATTCAAAATTAGGAGACCGGAAAGTTACTTCCTATGACACAATTGGAGAGCTATATGGGAGTCTGGCAGGACCGTGATGGGTCCAGTGATTTGCCAGTGCAACAGACATGACTAGGAATTGAGCCAAGTTTACGAACTCAGGGAATGTGTTACTTTAAAGGTAATTGTATGGAACAGAATGGAGAGCCCAGAAGTAAACCCACAGAATTACAGTCACTTCATCTTCAACAAAGAAGGCAAGAACATACAATGGAGAAAAGACAGGCTCTTCAGCAAGTGGTGTTGGGGAAACTGGACAGCCACACATACAGCAATGAAGTGACGACACTCCATCACACTATAAACAAAAATAAACTCACAATGGCTTAATCACTTAGATATATGACAAGACACGATAAACCTCCGAGAAGAAAACATAGCTGAAACATTTTTGACATAAATCTTAGCAATGTTCTCCTGGGGCAGTCTACTCAGGCAATAGAAATAAAAGCAAAAGTTAACAAATGGGATGTAATTAAACTTAAAAGCTTTTTACACAGCAAAGGGAACCATCAGCAAAACAAAACAACAACTTACAGAATGGGAGAAAATATTTGCACATGATACAGTTGACAAAGGTTTATTTCCAGACTATATAAACAGCATATACAGCTTAATAACAACAACAAGAAAAAACCAAACATGGCCACATGACCTAAAAAGGAATTCTTCACGGAAGGCA